TCGCTCCAAGAGTTTGTGTCCGGCTATATACATATATAAAACATATATAAATATTGCTATAAAACCGTAATCATGTATACATTAACACTAATAAACGTTTATGCTTTGTAATTTATTTGGTTTTTATTTTATATCATTATTAAGCGTCGACACGCTGGTGTAAATTTAATTTATGTGACTGGTGGAAATCGTGTTTATATATTGTACTGGTAGAATTTGGGTTTGTTGTAACTGGTGTATAAATCACACGAGGGACCTTGTATTGAATGCTTGGACTCTTTGACTGATAACCAAAACATTTTATCAACAAGAAACGCCGAAAAAACCAAAAAGACTGTTATTTTATGAGAAGAACGATGTTTAATAAAGATCTCCAAGGATATTTTGATATTTCCACATTTCTGAATAATTTTATATTTTTTTATTGAGTGTTCTATTTTAGATTATGGTCTGTAATATAGAATCCCCGTCAATATTGTTTAGTAGCGGTCATTAAGGTTGTATCGTTAATAATATTACAATGTACATTCTATAATCAAATTATATAATAAATATAATATTATGCTGTATGTACTGCCATCAAAATCTTCTTTAGGTTGTAATATAATATTAATATTACCAACAGATTCAATACTAGTAGGTATACTTGATGTATAAGAATATGATAGTTGGATATTAAATGTTAATTTTAACTTAAGACTCTAATATTATTTCATACAGTTTGAGACGGTTTGGCAGTCTGGATATTGTATATTTTTTAGTTTTTTTTTGTATAAATTTCAATAAAATTGTAATTGCTGGGTAAAAAAGCGTGAAAATGCAAGGCTCCTAATATATTGTTACAATACCAGTTGAAAAATATTAAAAATACATAGGCTCAATTTTTTTTTATTAGCATTTAAAGTTAGAATTTTGACAAAATTTATCAAATTTGAAATTGAGTAATTATTTTGTAGTTAAAAATTTATAAAATGTTCAACTTTTATATTTAAGGATTGAAAATTTAAAATAAGGCTCCGCGTAAATTAGTTATAATATATAAATTACTTTATTCATAATAATATCATCAAAATATATACTTGGTAATATCATAGGCTGACTGACCGTTTTCGCTCAGAATCGTTTTTCTTATACAATGATATTATATCATTGAATTCAAATTTAACACCATCCATTACAGTGACCTACTTGTAACCTACTGTACAGCAGAGCAACATCCACTTGCCCACCCTTTTAAATTTGATAAATGTTGTCAAAATTCAAACTTTAAATGCTTATAAAAAAAATTGTGTTTATGTATTTTTGATATTTTTCAACTGATGTTGTAACAATATATAAGGTGCCTTGTATTAAATGTTCAGGCTTTTTGGCCCAACAAATAAAACTTTATTGATATTCATAGAAGAAAAAACTAAAAACATTGGAAACTGAAAATGTCCTTACATCTCAAAACAAGTCAAAATATTTTGAAAATGATATGGTATATTAATTGATAAAATAATCATATGATATAAATTTCAAGTATCTATGGTTTTTATTTTTAGAATTACAACTAAATATAAAAATCACTACATGAGAAATCGAGTAAATATCCGATGTTGTAAAAATTTGAATTTAAAACGCTCATAAAAATTTAAATTTTATTTGCTTGTAGACATTTATTTTTTTGATAAAGGTAGACAAACTTATGAGGAATTTTGTATTAAATTTTCAAATCTTGGATTTAAAAAAAAATTTTTTATGAATTCTTAACTCAAAATAATTTGCTAATTGTCGTGATTTTTCAGTATTTTGTCAAGATTTGAACTTTAAATGCTTATAAAAAAAACTGTGACTCAGGATTTTTAATATTTTTCATCTGCCTTTGAAATAATATATTAGGAGCCTTCTATTAAATTTTCAAGCTTTTTTTACCCAACAAATAAAATTTTATTGATATTTATAGAATAAAAAACAAAAAACATTTTAAACTGAAAATGTCCGTAAACAGCTCAAAATATATAAAAGAATTATAAGAATAAAAACAAATATTATCAATATTGTAGAAGAGAAGTATAAAAGGGGGTTCTGAATTATAGATGGGCCCATGCACGGCGTTGTTCGTCGGTAGTACACTAGTACCGAGAGTCTAGTTGGGTTTCGTTAGGTTTAGTGAGGTTTAGTGAGGTTTGGTGAGGTTTAGTGAGGTTTAATCTAACCTAACGCTGCTCTCGGAATTGGCTCGGTATTATTATTTAGATTTAAATAATTTCGATATTGGCAGCGCCATCTAACGACGCCGAATAATTTTTAACAAGTCGTGCTTGAAGAACTGGCCCTCGCAGCTTCTTAATTTCCTAGTTAGTCAGCGTTGTCATATACGATTTACAACACGGACATCTCCAGACTTCAAGCGTCAAGACACTGCACTATTATTTGCCAATAGTTGAGTAGCAGAATTTATATTTTCTTGCCAAGTATATATATGTAGTTTGAAGATTTTTGTATCATTTTTATGTCATCACCATTTAGGACAGTAAAAATGCTTAGATTTTCTTCAACAGTATCTTTTTGATAGGAAAGTGAATTAGTGGTATTTTGGGGGTGTCAAAAGTAAAAATTTCTCAGTAATTTTCTAAAGCTTCGTGAAAAACAAAAAAAAAATTAAGGAAAAACGGGAATTTTTACACAAAATCTGTTTTCGAGAAAATTGATTTTGGTTTTTGGTTTTTTATGATATTTTGATTGAATGTTTATATTAGCATTTTCTATACACCATAACATTTTCCAAATATTTTGACTTATTTTGAGCTGTTTAAGGAAATTTACTGTTTAAATTTTTTAGTTTTTTTTTTTGAAATATCAATAAAATTTTAGTTGTTGGTTAAAAAAGCTTGACAATTTAATAGAAGAATCCTAGTATATTGTTTCACAGGTAGCTGAATAAAATTGAAAATTTATTGTCACAATTTTTTTTATAAGCATTTAAAGTTCGAATTTTGATAAAATGTATCAAATTTAAAATTAAGTAATTATTTTGCAGTTAAAAATTTATAAAATGTTCAACTTTTCTAGCAAAGGATTGAAAATTTAAAACAATGGTTCACGTAAATAGGTAAATATATAAATTACTTTATTCACAATAATATCATCAAACATACTTAGTTATATGATAGGCTGACTGACCGTTTTCGCTCAGAATCGTTTTTTTATACAATGATATATCATTGAATTCAAATTTAACACCATCCATTACAGTGACCCACTTGTAACCTACGGTACAGCAGAGCGACTTTTTTTTTATATTGTTGATACCAATGTATAGTGGTATTTACTATTTACACTTGTCACTTGGTAAATAAATGTATGGGTATAAAACAGTAAACACCTTTATCATAAAATAAAGTACCTAATAACCGAACGTAACCTACACATTTATTCCCCAAGCATATTCAAAATTTCAAAATATATAATATAAGCTAGGTACCTAGCTTAATAAAATCAGAAATTTATTTTATGGGTAACTACCCTTCTTCACAATGTTGGTGTTATAATTGTATCAATTATACAATATTCAATATTGTAGAACCACAAAATCACAATAAACATTCTTAGAAATTAAACTTTAGTAGGTACAATACATTTTATTTTTTAATACTGAAAAAATATTAAATATATATAATATATATTATAATATTTATATATAATATAGAACACTTGGGTAAATCGGCATTGGGTGCTTATATTTATTGTTGGCAGGCTTTTTAAAAAAAGTTATTGCAAATATACACCCTGCACCCCTCCCCCAAATTACGCGACTGGTCGCATATGAGTATTTTATCTCATTTTTGGCAATAAAGACAGATCGTAATTTTATCGATATTATGTGAATGTGAATGTGAAAATACGACGAAAAACCAATATAGATAGCTATGTACCATATGTATCTATTATTATCCTTAATATAAACATTTTAATAATTCAGCAACTACGTATTAGAATTATTTTGATTTAGATACATCTACATTCTACATTTATAAGAATATCATTTGCTAAATAATTTGCAGTAAAAAAGGAGATTCACATTTGAAAAATAGAAGTTTGTATCGCCACAGGACTGGAAATATCAAGAATTTGAAAATATGGTCTTATTAGAGTTTATAAATACCTACTTAAAACTTTTAAAAATCAGAATTTGAATAAGTGTATGTATAAAGGAAAAAAGTTTTTGAGCATTTTTTTACCATAATATCAAGTAAATTTTGTATTTCATTATGTTGCCCCTTCAAATAACTGATCCATGGGCCTTTGGTGTGCCAGGCTAGTGGGCCATGTCGCGTGTGTGAAATGAAGAACTTGTTATTAGTAATCAATAGAAATAATAACCAATACGGTATTATAGAGTTGTTTTGGCTTCGATATAAATGTTAATTGTTGGCTTCAATGAAATATATGGGTTGCAATGTTGCATGGGCGATGGGCCAATTAGCAATCTATAGTTTATTATAATTATTTGTGATGATAATTGGTAATAATAACAATTTGAATACATATTTTCCGCGGAGATAAAAATGTAACCTATAAGATTATTGCACGGAACTATGGAACCATGGTTATAAATCTGTGATTTTGACAATGATAATATGATGATAGTGATATAATAATAACTGATAAGAGATAAGTAGTCTACTAAATTCTTCGAGTTAGTTTTTTAAAACGTTGATGATTTGAAGGAATTGCGATTGTCTTAATATTTTCGACTTTTACCGTCAACTTTTGTTTCTTTTTGATGAATTTCGTTATTAAAGTTTTTACTATTTATGTAATAGTTTTTTTATTTTTGTAATATTGTTAATATTTTACATGTAATGATTTTTATGGTAACTTGTTGCATCTGAAGTTTTTGCCACCTGTCCTGTCACATGTATTTATTTGTACTTTGTAGTATAAAATTGTTTTTCAATTGATTTAAATATTACATTTAATTTAATTTTTGCAAATTTGATAAAAATCCTAATAAAATGAGGGACACTGCTCAAAATAAACTGATTGAACTTCAACATAATCCCAGTTCAATACGTAATATTTGCATTATGGCTCATGTTGATCATGGTAAAACAACACTAGCAGATTCTTTGGTGGCCAGTAACGGTGTTATATCTCAGAAGATGGTTGGAAAACTGAGATACATGGATAGTAGACGAGACGAACAACAACGTGGAATAACAATGAAAAGCTCATCAATAGCATTGTATCATTGCAAAAGTATAATTTATTAATTATTTTGTGAATTATGTCATTATATTAAAGTGTATGAACATAATTTCAGATGAATCAGAATATCTTATCAATGTCATTGATTGTCCTGGACATGTAGATTTTTTTTCTGAAGTTTCTACGGCCTTAAGATTATGTGACGGAGCTATTATTATTGTTGATGTTGTAGAAGGTGTTTGTCCTCAAACACAGGTAAAGTATTATGCCTAATAGACCCTTTTTTTATTTACATCAGTAATTAATTACTAAATGACCAGTTTGATTAATATATACTTGTGATTTTTGGTTGTAGGCTTGTTTAAAGCAGATTTGGTCAGAAAATATTAAACCTATTTTGGTGCTAAACAAGATTGACAGGCTGATATTGGAGTTTAAATTGACTCCACTTGATGCCTATATTCATTTACTCAAGTGCTCGAACAAGTAAGTGTTGCTTTAAATTGATTTAATGATTTTCAATTGTTAATTTTATAATCTTTAGATAAATGCTGTAGTGGGAGAACTATTTAAAAAAGATGTATTTGAAAGAGAAGCAGAGACTAAGAGGGGAGTTGGCGTTCAGTCAGGTGAAGATTTGTATAATCAGTGGAGCACTGCCATCGAGGCTGCTGATGATTCAGATTTATATGTTTCACCCAACCAAGGAAATGTAGTTTTTGCATCCGCTGCTGATGGTTGGGCATTTAGGTATATGATTTTCCTACATTAATATTATGTGTATAAAACGATTTTGAAATCTACAAGAGATAAAATATTATGACTAAAAAAAAAATAATTTGACTTATTTTACATACATCGTTATGAGTATAAGCAGTATATTTTTAAGATAAATATACGTCATGTTATAAAGAATAAAATACATCAATGTTTCAAAACTAAAATTTTTATACAGTACTATTTGAGTTATAACCACAAATATTTTTTCTATAGTTCGTTAATTGAACAATTTATTTTAATATTTAATCTTCGTTACGTTCAAAATTATACTTACTTGAGTGGTTTTATTATAGAAACAGGTTGAAATTTAGTGTCAAACAAAACCTTGGTGTGAACGTGGATGTCTTAAAAAAGACATTATGGGGTGATTTTTATTTACATTCAAAGACTAAAAGAATCATGAAAGGTGCACAAGAAAAAGCCAAGAAACCAATTTTTGTTCAAATGATACTTGAAAACATTTGGCTTATATATGATGTCATTATTAATCAAAAAGTAAATTAAATGATTTTAAAACCATATTCTTGATTTAAGCAGTAAACTGTGTCTTTAAGCAAAGTGATAGTTATAATGTATTTTCTAGGACAAAGAGCGTTTATCAAAAATTGCAGAAAGTATGAATGTAACACTTTTTGCCAGAGATTTGCGTCAAACAGATACAAGAATTTTATTGCAATCTTTTTTATCTCAATGGATTCCTTTATCTTTATCAGTATTAGGTAAATATATTTTGGTTCATGTAAGATATAACTGTAATTATGAACATATTATAATTTGTTGCTCTACGTCAGTGGTGCACTTGGACTGGGTTTTTTTTTGTTGGTGGTGGTGGGGTTAATTTTTTAATTAACAAATTGGATGACCTAGATATAACAAAACATGGTAAATTAGGCAATCTTATTTAAAATTACTTTCCACTATTATTTCTATTAATTTGTTTGAATTTTTGGACTGGTGCTATTAGTATAATGATTGATGGCATTACTTATATTTGTAATATACGGTAATTTAAAGTATTTACTCATTAAGCTACCCGAAAATGAACAACACTTGAAGTTTCAGTCCTATAGGTTGAAGTTCCAATATATTAGACCTGGAATCACGATGAACTCTTAAGAGGACGTTGCACCCGCATATGTTGTCTCGTCTAACACATATGGCATACCAAAAACGTTTGGCGCGGGGATAAACCGAGAAGATTACAGTCATAGCTAAGAAACCAAATTTTACCAGATATAAAGAAGAACTTTAGCTATGCAATATCATTTTAATTTTTTTGATATCACTTATACGAAAAAAATATTTATTGTTTCAAATCCATATTAATTTGTGTATTTTAAAACTGTTAACTGTTTTTACATCTTAATATCTACAATACTCATAACTCGCTTTAAAATTAAAATATAATAAAAAGTCTATGTCATTGTCTAGATAATAATCTTACCTTTAAATTGTATAAGAGGTCAATTCGCTCTAATTTTTAAACTAACTGAGATAAACGTGTTCTGTTGTACATAAAATTTGTTATGTTAAGACGGAGACAACAAATGTCAATGTAACGTCCCCTTAATCCGAATAATTTTTTTCAATTTGTCTTAAGTACATTAATATTTTTTAATTTTTTATATCTATATATAAAAATCTTTTATATTCTATGTTGTCTGACTTTCATAAAAACACCCCTGGATATCTAAATTATATTATTTTATTATAATCTCTTTGTCAATTTGAGTTCCAATATTTTTTATTAACAAAGGTTGTTAATCAAATATTGAGTTATGACTATTTGTTTACAGGTATCGATTTTTAATTTTAATTTATTATATGAATTATATATTTTGAACTAGATAATTTATCTTGAATTCTTCCTAGGTATGGTATGCGATAAATGTCCATCACCAAATCAATTGACTGATGTCAAAATTGAGAACTTACTCTGTCCTCCAATGAAAGAATTCAACCTTATGCCTAAAGAAACCATAGCATTGAAAACTGTTTTCTCAAAATGTTCTCCTGATGATGCTTCCGTCCCAGTTATAGCTTTTGTTTCTAAAATGTTTCCGGTTTGTATATGTTTATTTATATTTTTAAATGAAAATATTATCATCTAATTGATGTTATTTAAATCTAGATTAAAAGAAAATATTTACCTCAAAATAAACCAAAAGTATTAACTGCTGAGGAAATAGCTAAAAGACGAGAGTTGGCAAGAATTAAGCATGCTTTAAAAAGCAGTGCAATAAAAACAGAAGATTCAGAAACTAAATGTAGCATTACAGTTAATAATGAAGAAAATAAACCAGAAGTTATAGAACCTACGCAAAATGAAAATGATGTTATGTTTATTGCGTTTGGAAGAATGTACAGTGGTACAATTCGACGTGGTCAAGAGATATATGTCTTAGGACCAAAACATGATCCATCAAAAATAACAGATAGTGTATGTTTTTATGAGTAATTTTTATGTTACAAATACAAAATTTATAATATTATTTATAGGATTTTTATGTTGATGAAAAATGCACTTTGGCTACTTTAAAATCTGACCAACATATAATGAAAACTATTATAACTGATTTGTACATGTTAATGGGCAGAGACTTGGAACCAGTAGACGAAGTTCCTGCTGGCAATATATGGTAAAAAATATTTTTAAATCATATTTTCATTCAAAATATTAATTTATTGTTCTCATATATTATTAGGTGCGGGTAATTTAGAACAGTACATCTTAAAGAGTGCTACTTTGTCTACGACTTTAGCTTGCCCCCCATTTACAGAAATTAAAGCTATGGCCACACCAATCATGAGGGTGGCTTTGGAACCAAAACATTCAATGGATTTGCCTGACCTTGTCAGGGGTCTTAAACTACTTAATCAAGCAGATGCGTGTGTTCAGGTAATGTGAAAATTGTGTTAGTATAATAATACGTGATAAAAATATGTTGAATATTGTTGAATAATTATAGAAAGATGTATGTGCATTTGTATTTAATTGTTTCTGTTATTACTCTTTATATTACAATCACATTCCTCTGCTTTTTCTATTAAACCTTTGAAATATTATCTGCAACTATGTGTTTAACATTTATGCTATCAATAAATGTTGATGAATACATTTTATTTATGTTACTTATCTTGGAATGAAAATAAGCCTCTCGATACTCATAATATTGTATTTGAGGGGACCATTCTAGTTCTTTATTGACTTTATTCAATCTCGCTAATCTCAATTGTTTTATGTCGTTGCAGTCTCTAATAGCTGATTTTCCTTTCCATATGTTATTGGATGATATACAAAATTAATTGACAAGGTATTATTGTTGGATAGGTAGTGTTACTTGAACGGGTATAGAGATATATTGATTTGGAGGAATACACAAGTCTGAGTACATTTTGGTATCTCTAATGTAGTAATTTCTCTTATGATTCACACTCATAAATGATGAGTTTTATCATAAAATACTTTTGTCAACTAAAAAAATATACTGACTTAAAATCTAAGTGTTTTATTAAATTTAGAAGAAAAAATGTTTATTGTATTATATTTACAAGCCAGAAGATATTTTTATTATTTAATTTCTTATAAATAAATGTATAGGGAAAAAAACATTTTGTGTTGGGTATTTACTATTTAAAGAATTTGATTCTTACGAGTTACGGTATTATAAGTTTTCCAAGGAACAATTTCTTATTGGCTTAAACTATTATTGATATTAATTAATATTGTTAGTACAACTTAAATCATGCTACAAAATCTCACATTCAAATTATAATGAATGAATTAACATTACAAAATTGATATTGTTTGTTATAGGTAATGATGCAAGAAACAGGTGAGCATGTAATTGTCACTGCAGGAGAAGTACATCTTCAAAAATGTTTAGACGACCTTCGTGAAAGGTATAAATCAATAAAAACTCTAATCAAAACTTAATATTTAAAAGCTAAATAACTTTAAACCTAAAATTTAAAATTTAATAATTTAAATTGAATTAAGTTTTTTTTCTAAACTTATATTTTATCTCTCATACGTCATGTGAATCATGTCACGTAATTTATAAATATTATTTTTACTGATTTGAAAATATTTCTCATAGATTGTAAAGATTATAAATTTATAAAATAATATGGAAAACAAATAATAGACTTACATAAATCCAAATATATGTGTTAATTGTGAAATGTAATTACTAATAACAAAATATTTATATTAACGACTTAATTTTTTTCATAAGGTACGCTAAAATTGATGTAGTTGCTTCAGCTCCAATAGTGCCTTTTCGAGAGACTGTTGTCGTTCCACCTAAGGTGGACATGGCTCATGAAATTGTTGAAAACCAGAATCAAGTAATTATTATCATAATTATACAGTTGAACCTTTTAAAATGATGTAATAAACAGATTATTAATTATATAATAAAATGTTTATTAAATAAAATAAAATAATAAATTTTAAGTTTCTTGTTTGAATGGTAAATAATTTATTTATTTCTTTTGTATATGTATAGAAAAATGAAATTGAAGAAAATCCAACCGGTCTTTTGAATGTTTATACGTCAAATCATCTATGTTGTATTAAGATTCGAGCTGAACCTTTACCAATAGCTGTTACAAATCTTCTAGAGAAATCAACAGACATTTTAAGAGCTTTGTCAGAACAAAAAACTGAAAATATTTCAGACGCATTGGAACGTTTGACAATTGAGGATAGTGTTTCTAAAAATATTAGAATCGCTATCGATACATTTCGGTCTCAATTACAAGAAGCGCTTGGAAACAGCATGGACGTGTCTCAAATTTGGGCGTTTGGACCTAGAAAATGTGGCCCAAATATTTTATTGAATAAAATACCCAGTAAATGCCTATTAAATGTTAATCATAAAATTGTTTCAGTGAGTCCAATGTAAATAATATTTTATTTCAGATTACACAAGGTCAGTATGGAATCCAAAAGACAATGTGAACGATTTGACAAAGTATGAAAATAGTTTTATGAATGGTTTTCAAATAGCAACTTTAGCTGGTCCTCTATGTGAAGAACCAATGACGGGTGTCTGTTTTGTAGTCGAAGATTGGACAGTTGATGTTTCACAACAGATTTCGTGGTGAATAATTTATTTCTTAATTTTATTAATATAAACAGTTTTAAAATTGGATATTGATTAAAAAATAGTGATCCTTATGGACCTATGTCTGGGCAAATCATGTCAGCTGTGAAAGATGGATGTCGGAAAGCTTTCCAAGCTCAACCTCAAAGACTTATGGCTGCCATGTATTCATGTTCTATTCAAGCCAACGCTGAAATTCTAGGTAAATTTTGCATTCTTAATTTAAACAGATTTTATCAATTTCAATGACATATTGTTGTTTAGGTAAAATGTATGCAGTTTTGGGAAGACGTCATGGTCGAGTTATTAGTTCTGATATGACACATGGTTCAGCATCCACTTTCAATATAACTGCTTTGTTACCGGTTATCGAAAGCTTTTCCTTTTCTGCGGAAATACGCAAACAGACATCTGGTTTGGCTAGTCCACAACTAGTTTTTAGTCATTGGGAGGTAATAAATATTAAAATAATGAATGTTAAAAGAACTTTTTGTATGAATTATTTTTAATATTTTTTTCACAATAGGTAATTGATATTGATCCATTTTGGGTCCCAAACACTGATGAAGAATTGGAACTGTTTGGGGAAAAGGCGGATTCCGGTAATCGAGCTTTAAATTACATGAATGCTGTTCGTAGGCGAAAAGGTTTATCAGTAGAAGAGAAAATTGTAGAATTTGGTGAAAAACAACGTACTCTTTCAAAAAATAAATAAATTATGTCATTTATTAAAATCATGTCTTTCAAAGAATTAATGTACAGTATTCTTTTTTTTTTCTTTAAATATAATATTGATTGTTATGTTTTTATTTCTTTTTCTCAGATTTTTTAGCAGCTTTCTTTTTCATCATTTGAACTCTCTTTTCCACAGACATCATAGTACTTGAAGTGGGCGGGTAATGTTTAGGACTACTGTTGGCAGAAGATGATTTAGTTTTGCTAGAACTTGATTTGGCTGAAAAAGAGAAATCACTTATAATAATGTTATCGTTTATAATTCACAAACATTAATGCAATTTACCTTGTGAGCTTTTACTACTGGACTTAGAACCTTCTGCCTTAGAAGCATTCTTAGAAGAACTTTTCTTGCTTTCCTTTCCCGATGAACGTGAATCCTTTAAATATAATAAAAAAATGAAATCATACAAAAACAAGGAATTACAAAATATGTGACTTATTATACTCACAGTTTTTTGCGAGTCTTTCTGTCTACAATTGATACAGTACCAAACAATTCTGGGGTCATTCAGGTTTATGTCTATTATTGGCGGGTTATGACAGTTCTGATGATACATGGAATGACATTCCAAACATTCTACCAGACTATTTCCCATCAGAACATAACTCTCTCTAAAAAACAAAATAGAAAGAAATCAAATTTTTCCTGTTTCAAAGTTTTAATGATAATTGTTTTTACATACTTGCAAGTACAACAGGAATATGCTTCTACCTTTTCTATTTCTGATTCAGAATCTGAGTCAATATTTATGACAGGATCAGATTTGGCCTGCTCCAATGTAATTGTGGGCGGTGGGGAAGAGCGCACTTCTATGATGGATTTGGATGTTGCTGCTATCGGACTGGACGAGGAACTCGAACTGCTAGACGTGTCGTCCAACTAGAAGGTTTTTAAATGTATATTATGCAGTTAATATAATATCACAAAGATGATTATAACTTACGTCTATTTGTTCAATACCCAGATCTTTTGATAGCAGAGCAGTAGGAACGGGTAATTTTTTGGCAGCGTTTGAGGGCCGCCGACTGCTACCGTACAACTCTTGTATAGAGTCTTCAAAATGTTTTAGCAAACTTTTAATGGAATTTGAGTCCTTGGTGCGACGAGCAATTTTGAAACCGGTCTTCATGTACGATTCAAGTTCTACAGTGGTCTCCATGATTGCTTGACGGGTGATTAATAATTTATATGTGAAAACAAGCCTGATAGGTTGTAAAGATATATTATATTATTACACAGGTAGTATCCATAATAAATTGCAAGTCTATAAGTATTTCATGAATTGTAATTTGTTTTTATTATTTATACTTGTTATCAGTCCTCCTGTACTTCCTGTAAATACTAAATACCTACATCGTGTTGTTTACTTATCAAAATAAAATGTGTTAAAAAAACGTACAAGCTCTTTGGAAAAATAAAATACTTTCAATTACGATTGCGTATGACCACAGAACAAAATTTATTTGAAATCTATCTTGTCATGATATTTGTATTAGTAATCTGTATGACTATTGTCATATGGTATGAGTGTATGACACTCCCACCAATATTAAGATATACTAATTACTATAGATTAATCTATAGTATTTGGATATACTAATGACGGGTTGCATAAACGATCGTTAAGTAGTATAAGTATATAAATATTTTAATTCGTGGATACTCCTCGACCAAGATAACGTTTTTTTATGTTGTACCTAACTGCTAACCTGCACACCAATTTTGAGTTCAAAACTTCAAACAATTTTTTTCCTGACTTATTTATGAGTTATAACATTGTTACTTGTTAAGCAATCAATAAACATTTTAATAAAACTGATTAATTATTACCTAATTTATATTTGGCCGTTTAGGTGGTTTATATATGTTTTAGATTCAATTACAATGTTATATTGTAGCTGTGAAAAATAAAAACTACACTCAGAATGTTGTAGTTCATAATTTATGAAACTATTATTTTTAACTATTTTATATATTTTTATCATGACTACCTACGTTGCGATAAAACCGTCAATCAAGGGGATTGGTATAAAATACGAAATTCAGCAATTTTATTTCATCATGTTTAGGTACAATTGTCATTAATGACGGCATTACAAATATTCAGGCCCTAAACCATATTGTCTTTGCAGTTTACACCCCCCTTCCTCGTCTCCCAATGATCAATTATAATTTTATCTAGACCGCTTCCCTTATGCTGACCGCCCTAAGGCCCACCACTGTTTAGGTATCTACATAATCTACCGGAGATTGTGTTTTGTGCAGTTCTGTATGTAATAATAACTCATTTCGGTGTTTTAACATTATTTAACTGTGCATTGATTTTCATGAACCGTACAGCGCTTTTAAGGTAGGTATCAAAAACATTAATATTTAACATACCTCTTATACGCATCACGGAGGGTCAGCTCATTTATAGTTTATACCCCTAAGTTTTAATAATTTATAGGTTTAACCGGAGAGCTAAGTGGAGAAACTCGTAGGTACCTTTAGTGGCCTATATACGACCCCGTTTGATCGTAATTTAAAAATAATGTTATTTTTTATATATAAAATAACATTGATATTTGATTGTACCTATATATAGGTACAAATGTACAATCAGGTCATGAAAGATGAAACCGCTTATGAAAAATTCGGTTACCGGGTCCGGTAGGACCCAAAAAATTGAAGTGTTTACAGGTTTTAGAGGTTTTTAAAATTAGTGGCAATAATTGATTACCGGTTACCAAAATTATCCCTAAATAGGGGTTTCCACTATACGCGTTTGCCGTGTACACGAAAAATGTTCAGCTATGTCCAACAACACGGTATCGTGGTTAATCGTGTGGTGACTGATCCTAACCAACCAATCACAGCAAGTTATTTGTATGCACGAACACGCATAGTGGAAACCCACCTTGAATATGTAATTACCGGGTATCGGTTTTAATTTTTCAAGATTACCGGTAACGGATTTTGAAAACTTTTGATGGGCCGATACCCAGTTGTTGTCGTTTTACCATTCTTCTATTTTATTAGCTCAAAAACATACCTATTTTATAATATTTTCAGAAGATATAGTACTATGAACTAAAAAATTATTGTCACAATGATACATTTTTACTAATTGATAGTTGGAATATATTTATATATTTAGACGTATGCGCGGGTACGTAAACATTGTATGTATGTATTTATGTATGTTTGTTTGTGTGTGTGTTTTGTGAAGGAAAATGAACATATTAATATTGTTGTATCTATGCACAACAATAATAATAATAATTATTAATTAGTATCTTAATCTGGTATAGTTTAATTTCTAAAATCTAAAATTAATACAAATTCTGAAAACAACAACCGATTGGCACTCTTATTAATTATCATTGATCACGGACTTCAGTTAAATAATTGCTGGTATGTTTAATAAACATACAAAACTTCAGCCGGTAAGCAAGCAATAAAAAAAAATATATATTATAATATTTATGATAATATTAATTTGTAAATATATCGTGTACCACCTATATATTTAAAAATATAGTTAATAAAAAGGGTACCACAAAAAAAATAAGTATATAATATTACGTAGTTGTGAGGGAAGCAAGCGGTTTTTTTTTTACCCATTCGGGCTGGTCAAAATCTTTTCCTCCCTCTATTGAAAACTGAAATGACGCCACTGCATCCAGACAGACAAACATTCATTTATGTATTTAAATATTAAAAACAGGTACTGATATCAATAATTATTGACACTAAAAATTATAGTTTTAAAATATAATACTAAAACGTATAAATACCTATGCCAAGAGTATAAGACAGTCTTCGACAAGACGATGAGCACAATTATTTTTACTCCATTTTATCCTCCCCATTCTTGAAGTTTGTTCATACCCACTATAGATTATTAGTTTATTTATTACCATTCACCTATTCCAAAGAAATGTCAAGACTGCGGTCACCGCAGTCAGTAGTCTGTATGCAGTTTGCCCTAATTAAATAATATACCGCCAAAGCATCATACTAAAATAAGTACCTACCTATTTCATTTAAAACTTATCATTTGTTTCCCTTAATCCTGCAGCATATACGGCGTTCCGCCATTGTCGTTAGAAGATTTTATGTGGTCGGCAAATCCGAAGGCAAAAAAATACCAGACGGTCACTATACTCACTATATATCGTAGTCACGGCTGTAACCGCACGTGAGTATGTCGTAATAATATTATTATTAAGCTCGTAATATCCAATAATGCGGACGACCGGGACACGCCGCCTCGAGACCATAATAGTTAAAACACGTCGGTTATAATATGACGCACCGATGAACTATTCGCCGACAGAGACGAATAACGTTATTACTTATTACGACAGAATCTGGAGTTACAATAAAACGTCGACGGAAAGATTGACAGGTCACAATCATCTTTTATTGAAAACTGATTTCTGTGAGTCGTGACGCTACTTCCGGTACGTGCGTATTGTAATTCGACTTCCGATACCTCGACGAGTCTGAACGGTCAACGACGACCTCCCTAGGTGAATTATTACGACGATTTCAAATTTGTCATATATTATCCTCTTTAGTTTTTTATACACCTTGTATTATATTCGTATTCCGTATACGATATTCGTTTATAAATTACCTACAACTATTATACTTATAATTACGTATTTAAAACGGATGTTATGAAGTGTCGGGTGCATGGTGCATAGTTATATTAATATCAAATATGTGCATGCCAGTGTACGCGAAATCTTTGTTTAGTTGTTTGCTACTTCGTTTCGGTCAGCCACGGATCCAGTCCCAGAGCAAAGATCGGGAGGGGGAGGGGGGAACAATTTTTTACTACACAAATATAATTGTAATAAAATATTATACTTCACTAAAAATGTTGTCATAATAGTAGGTACCTATAAGTAATCAATGAGATTAATAAATTATTGATTATTTAATATATAAAGCTAGAATGTGAAAAGAAGTTTAAATTTTGTTTATTTGTTATTTTATATATAATATTTATATTTATGGAAAAAATATGTCAGGGGGGGGGGGCTGGACCTAACCCCTGGATCCGTCCCTAGTTTCGGTACCAATGTACAATTCGATGGGTCTTGGATATTTGATCTTCTGTAGTGTTGACGAGAAAATTACTGACAAAAAATAAAAAAAAATAAAAAATAATATGCTTTGTTTCGTACAAATGTTGGCAGTTTATTAATGCGATAAATCATAAAATTATAAATTAGAGTGTATAAGTATAACCAATAACCAAATCCTTGAACAGCAATTCAAAGGCCCATTAATTGGTGGTTTAAATTATTCTAAATGGATTGAATCCAATAAATTGTAGTATTAATATTATATCTCATAATAAACATTGTTTGTAACAACAATTCATACATGCAAAATTGAATGAAAAAAGTAATATTAAATTTTATTAAAATTAAATATTACATAACAAGTAACATCAACAAAATGATCTCGTTTTAATTTTTTGTGTTTGTGTTAGAGTTATACATTTTACACCGTTCATATGATTTATACTTATTTATTAAATGCTGCACTATATTATCCCAATATTAAAATAATGTCCTTAGAAACAAGGAAGTAAATAAATAATAAAATATTTTAATTTCTTAAGATCAAACCTATAAATGAATTAATCTTAAACAATGATTAAAGGATGTTACAGTTGGCACAATGTGCTATATTTATTTGGCTAGTTCATTTGACAGCCAATCCAACCCTTCATATAAACCATTGCCTTGAGTTGCACACGTAGACTGAATGTACCACTTTCTCTGGTGAAGTTGATTCAGTCCAAGTTTGTTTGTGAGATCCGATACATTCATTGCGTTAGGAAGATCTTGTTTGTTCGCAAATACTAACAATACAGCATCCCTGAGATCGTCTTCTTGCAACATGTTGTGTAGCTCTCGTTCTGCTTCTGCTACTCTTTCTCGATCGTTAGAATCTACGACAAATATCAGTCCCTGGGTGTTTTGGAAGTAGTGTCGCCACAAAGGACGGATTTTATCTTGACCACCCACATCCCAAACTGTAAATGCAATATTTTTGTATTCAACGGTCTCAACATTGAATCCTATCGTCGGTATGGTAGTGATGATTTCGCCCAGTTTTAGTTTGTAAAGTATGGTAGTTTTACCGGCCGCATCCAAGCCAACCATCAGTATGCGCATTTGCTTTTTACCGAACAAACGGGTGAAAACTGTTGACAATGTTAAGCCCATCGTGTGTGTCTTAGAAACAATATACCTGAATAATATTATAAACATAAAAATTTGTTAGTCGTTTGGTTAAACAATTAAGGAGTACATTTTAGGCCAGATTGGAAGTAATTTTAATCGATCTTGGATGAGTTTTAAACAAAATAACAAATATAATTTACCCATTTATTGAGAAACTTCAGTGAGGTACGTTGCTAACGACAGTCTGTAGTCGGGCGGAGTTAAACAAACGTAGTCACTAGTCAAAACCGTCTTCAACAAGCACCAAATAGCCACATTTATATAAAATCGTCTTTGTTTTTTCATCTCGTGTTATCATTCGTGTACGTGTATTATCATTGTACAGTGGCGGTGATAAGGGGCCTAGAGCAAGTTGGCTATGCTGAAATCCTATCGATTTTTTGGTTCCTTAAACATCGGCCCCACTGTTTAGACCTGTCAAGGGTTCGTGATAAGAATACCATTGACAGACGATTTCGCTGCCAATAAAAATAACATCAAATTTAATAATTGATAAATTTTCCCCGAAAATTGTGTTTAAAAATAGTTATTACTCTAAAGTCTGTGATAGTTGTACCATGAGTTTGGGGACGTGTTGCGCGTCGTCAGTGATTTGAGTTTAATTGATGAAAACAAATTTAACGCCTTCAACGAGACTCGTCAAAAATGACCACTTCGTTTCTGGAAAATAAAATTTTGAATCTACAGGCCCGATTGAAGGCGGACGGCGATACCATTGAGGAGATGCCACCTCCATCACTCTCCAGTCCCCGACAGGGATCGGGGAGACGACCCAAACAACGTGAGTATACAACGCCCAGTTTTCCTTCTGTAGGTAGTAATAGTGTAGTATACCTACCGAAAAGGAGATCATCATGACCTTGATGGCTACATTATAATTTTTCTCCTTTAATTTCAGTTGGTGACATGGGTACCCCGACTAGAACTCGTAAGCATATAGACCTACCGGTAAGCATAATGATGCAGCCGCGGGTCGAAGACACTTCTGAAGTTGAAGTCAAGATGAAACAGATCATGAAAATGAGTGGTTTACTTACAATCAATGGAATAGTTAGTACAGTATTTTATGTTTAATGGTGTTATTATTGTTTAATCAAATTATTTTAAATGTTTAGACATATAAAACTGAGTTAAAAGATTTAGAGCATCTCGGAGAATTAGGAAGTGGTACATGCGGTCATGTGGTGAGAATGTTGCACAAGCCTAGTAATACTGAAATAGCCGTCAAAGTGAGTGGGACTCTTTTTAATTGATTAATTTTATAGCTAATTATATATTTATTTTTTTTTCTTATTAGCAAATGAGAAGGTCTGGAAATAGTGAAGAAAATAAACGTATTACTACTGATCTTGAAGTTGTACTCAAGTCTCATGACTGTCCTTATATTGTTAAATGTTTGGGTGCATTTATCACCGAATCAGATGTGTGTATTTGCATGGAACTGATGGCTACCTGTTTTGATCGTCTTTTGAGAAGACTCAAGGCACCAATCCCAGAAGATGTACTTGGGAAAGTCTCTTTACATGTTAGTATAAGAAATCCCTAAAATTAAATAATTTAAATAATTCAAATTTTTTGTTTTAGACTGTAAAAGCGTTAAGCTATTTAAAAGAGTCTCATGATGTTATACATAGAGATGTTAAACCATCAAACATTTTGTTGGACGAAAGAGGAAATGTAAAATTATGCGACTTTGGTATTTCTGGTAGATTAGTTGATTCTAAAGCTCGTACTAAAAATGCTGGATGTGCTGCTTACATGGCTGTATGTATTTATTAGTTTAGATATAAAATGAACTTAATTGTATTAATTAAATGTTGGGTTTTCAGCCTGAACGAATTGAACCCAGGCAACTGGATTACGATATACGATCTGATATTTGGAGTTTGGGTATTACATTGGTTGAATTGGCTACGGGTGTGTTTCCATACCGTGATTGTAAATGTGATTTTGAAGTATTGAGTCGAGTTTTAAATGATGACCCTCCTTCACTTCCTCTAGATCAAGAGTTCACCTTAGAATTTAGGAATTTTGTATCTAGCTGGTGTGTATTAGAAAATATATTAACAATGATACTTATTTTTTTAGTTAATTAAACATATTATTTTAGTTTGATTAAAGATTACAAAGTACGACCAAAATACAAACAATTATTGGAACACCCATTTTTACAAAAATATATGATAAAAACAGTTAATGTTGCTGAATGGTATGCTGAAGCTACAAGTCAAAATATAATACTCAAGTAATTTAAGCTATATTCAGGGTTTATAGACTTAATTATTGTTAATATTTTAGCAGTGTTGCTGATATTTTAATAAATAATTATAAAAAATTGTCATTAATAAATTATGTAATTTACAGAATAGCAAAACCGGTTGTAGAAAACGTTCCTATTAGTGTCCGTAAGATGTCAGATCATCAATTTCCTTCATTAAGTTTAATTGATAAAAACAAAATAAATGGGTTAGTTAAATCAATGAATTTTTAAAAACAACTTAAATAAATATGTATTTTGTCGTTACTGTGTTTAGAAATTTGGTGATTGACTCTCCAAAACCAGTGAAACGCTTTCCAAGTATGGAAGTGCCTCCTTCAGTGTTGTTGTCACCGTATAAACAATTGACGGGACAATTGACAAATGGAGGCAATGTTTCTGCCAATACTAGTCCATTAGTACTGCAACGGTTTTATCATCAACAAAACCAACACCATTCTAGGTGAGAATAGTGAATTGATTTAAACAAATTAAAACAATTTGATTTCAGGTTTTCAATAGTATAAACAATTTTATTTTTCAGGTCATCTTCTGTATCTCCAAGCCTTTTTGAACGAAATACTACTAGAGAAATTAATCCCTCAGATTCACCCAAACCTAGTCCAAGGAAGAGTCTGATAGCTACCCTACCTCAAATTCGCTCCATGGAGCAAAAACTCCTCCTATTCCTCCACCACGAACCAAAAACACACCAGTTATTTCGTCACCTTTAGTAACAAGACGTGAGGTGTGCCCTGCCTCTCCAGCACCTGTACGTAAGACTTTTGAAGGTTCTCCAGCCTTATCTAGACGATATGTATCACCTGTTCCACCAACTCCACCGCCACGTCGCCTATCAGAAAGTGGATCGTCGCCACTACATACATTTTACCAACAACGATTATTTGGTCAACCAAAATTGGAAGAAAAAGATCGAAGATACACACCTCAACCACGTAGACGTAGCGTTTGCCAGTTTAACGATATATGACAACTACTGTGTGGGCAGAGACGTAAAGAATCTGTTCCCAAAAACAGTGAGTGAATTAAACGGCTTAATTAGACGTTATTACTATAAATTATTAAATCATGTTCGATATAAATATTTAATTTAGCAATTTAAAAAGACAATTTATACATAATAATATTATAATATTAAATTATGAAAAACAATGTTAAACATATTATACCTAAAATTAATTGTATGACAGATCTAGTAACTATTCAAGTCACTGAAAATTACTTTTTAATTTATTCTGTTAATTTTTTTTTACTTGATGCACATTTCATTATTGTTATATGTGTTGAACAGTTGTGCGATTGCAACTAGCAATTCAGATCCAATTATAGTATAATATTAATATTTTATGGGAATGTTTATCAAACATGACCATGAAACTTAACTGGTAACCAGTTCCTTATTTGTCTATATTAACTGGTGAATCTACCCGCTAAATTCTTATTATTAAGAAAGTGAGTATAATATTATTTATATTATATTATAACATTTTTTATATGATTTATTAAAAAAAAACTTGTGTACATCACTTTGATTTGAGCAAAGTTAGTTTAGCGTAGTAAAATCAAAAATGTTGACAGCCATATTTATTTATTATTATTACTTTATTTTTGCTACTTACATTTGTGTATTAATATTTTTTTGTGTTCTGTTTTAAATTGTTTGCTCAATTTGTTTGTTTTTTTTTTTTATGTGACTAGTCACGGTGTCACAGCCGAAATGTCTCAGGTTATTATATTACCCGCGTATTATGTATCTTACTGTGATTTTTTAAACATTTTCTTTTGCTTCATTGTGTACCAAGTTTTATAGTTAATTATTTAAGCTTACATTATTTCTATGCAAACTTAAACATTATATTATAATATAAGCAATATATAACCTATATATATTTATATATATATTACATTCTAGTCATGATATATAAATATTATTGTTTCAGAATGATATTTTGTATAAAGTTAAGAAATTATGTTATTTGATCAAAACAATATAATACAATATATAAAAAAAGCATTTATTTTTAAATTACGTTTAAAGACGATCGTATTAAAACAACAAGTAAATAAATTATTGATGTATTAATATTTCATACTTATTCTTTCTATGTTAGGTTTGTGTTAACTTTAGCATTGTGCGTGTGTATACTTTTAAGATTTCTTTTTACTTTTTACAGATTATAAATTTTTATTATGCTACCTAAAAACTAAAGAAGCCGTCCGTAACTCGTAAGTAACACACTGACACCAGTAACAGACGTAACACAGAACACTACACAATTACTTAAACTTAATTAAATTTATTTTAATATGCAGTGGTGTATAGCTAAATTATTTGTGGGTATTTATATGCCTTCATAACGCAATTAGATCTTAGGTGTCAATAATATAACTTTAACATATTAAATCAAAAATATTTTTTCTCGCTTCACTCAATTACACTTATAACCTTTATTATAACTATCACATTACAACTATTCAAGTATTTTTAAACAACTAACTTAATGAAAAACATGAAACCACACAATGACTTTTTATTTTAAATATAGTTTTAAAATAAAATATATTATGGCCTTTAAAATCAAAATAGTCGAAATATGCACTGAAAATGTTGAGTAGGTATTTGATCCCAAATGTTGTGAATTGTATTTTACTCACATATGACAAAATTAACCATACAAAATATGTAAATGCATGAAATTCCTTGCCCTACACCCACTATTTCAGAGTATCTAATAATCGATTAGTAAAATATAAAATATTTAACTAAAACCAAATAATTATAACTTTATAACATGTTATCTTTATTAACAACAATAAAATTATTCATTAAATAAATATAATAATAATACTTACTATAATAATCTAAAGTATTTAGCATAAACCTTTTTTTTTCTCTATTGTTTCTCTTTTTATCACTGAAAAATCTAATAGGTATACGGGGCTATACGGCCGTATACTCGCGTATCGTCGTTAATTTAGAGAGTTTACCCTAAAAAAAATTGAGAAGTAAGTATACGCCTTATATCCCCCAATACACCAGTGCAATTACTCATTACGAGTTATTAACATTTAATACAATATATTATAGAATGTCATTCTTTTTTGTATCAATTATATCAAACGGTTAAAACATAACAATATTTTATAAATTAAAACAAAATGTCTAATGTTTCAAAACACTTGTATGTTGTATTATATTTTTTCTAATTTAGGTTTTAGGAGAAAATTTAGTTTCAAAAAAATCAAGAAATTCCATTGCTTCTTGACACACCACAAGTACTATCAACCAGATCAAATAAAATTATCATCAGTTTCAAACAATGAATCGACACCAACACCTCAAGACAATTTCAAACTTCCACTGTGATATAGATAGATTAATGGTAAAGTCATTTGGCTCTTATACTTATGAACATAAAATGTGTATTATGTTAAGAGGAAAGCCTACTCTCAAATTACCTAATTTTAAATCTAAAACTAAAAATTTGTCACCGATATTTTAATGAAGTTTTTATAAAACATGTGATTGGCTTTGTGGTTGCTCAGATAAATTATACTGTTGGCCCTGTGTGCTTTTTTCACATAGTGAATCAAATTATCTGGTCAAAAATGGTGTTACTGATATGTCTAATTTTCATGGTTTAAAAACTATACATGAATCATATCCACTATACATTCAAGCCTCGTTAAATTTTAAACCTTTTGTGAACATTAGGAAAGATATTTGTTTAAGTAAAAACTTAAAAAAACTAGGTATGTTCGTTTCTGACGTAAACATTTTTAATTGTTACCTACTACCTTCTTCTATCTCCTACCTATATATACATAATATATATATTCTATATTGTAATCTATCCACTAGAGACCACTAAATATGAAATTTTATTTGAATATTTTACATTAACAAAAAAATATATATATGTGATATAATAATATTGAACTTTTATTTATAAGTGCTTATTTACCGTACGGCAGCACACCAGTTGTTGTCTATTATCGGTTATAGGTAATATTCATAGACATATTAACTAGTCAATATGTCTATGGTAATAGGTACGATGTTTATTGGGATTTGGCTCAAATTATTGAGCGTGCTAAAATTATGCAGTAACCAGTAGGTACCCAGGGGCGAACGCATACCGCACACATTTATACTGTTGTTAAAAAAGGAAATTTTAAAGGTCGATAGTTCAAAACCTCACACATTTGATTGACAGTTAAAAATTAAACATATTTTGTAGTTAAAAAATAATTTAGTACTAATTAAAAATAACTCAATATATTATAATTAAATTTAAATACGATCAAAGCTGACCGACTAACCTTTTGCATTTTTTGAGATTTTTTAGGGCTTCAAAATTCCAGCCCTACTTATAAGGAGTCTTGTATTACATTTTAAAATTAATACAAATTTTTAGGAATTTCCAACTCAAAATAATTTGCACATTTTCGTGATTTTTACGCCTTTTGTAAAAGTTCGAACTTTAAATGCTTTAAATGCTTATAAAAAAATTGTGACATTGGATTTTTAATATTTTTCAAATATCATTGTAACAATATATTAAGATCCTCGTATTAAAATGTCAAGCTTTTTACCCAACAAATAAAATTGTATTGATATTCAATTTGGTTTCATTAATTATCTGTTGTTGTTTTAACACATCTACCAAAAAAAACATAAATAAATTAATAATAACTCAAAATATATTTATTATTTTAAATTTATGTTCTTACCGAATGAAATATTGTAGGATGCGCCATGCGGAACATAAAATGCATGCCTATATAAGTTGACTAATGACTATGGTAACTTTCTGCGCTGTTCATCGTAGAGTTATAATTTTATGATTTTTTTTGATCTTGATTGAATATGATTAACTAGTGTGCGGTACTAAACGATAATGTTATTTTAAATAAATGTATACGTTATATGAATGTATATATTATGTTACACTGTGTGCGACAGGGCCGTATTTGAACATTTTGCGCCCCGATACCCGGGGCAACAAATTTTTCCGTCCCCCAAAAAGTTATTTTAGTTAGTTATTTAGTTATATATTTAAGTAAAATAAAAATGAGTACAATATTACAATGATTTCTTTCTAAGCGTTTAATTTTTTATCTTATTGTAAAAAAAAATTATTGCACATATTAATTTGAACAAAATGTTGACAGCCATATTTATTTATTATTATTACTTTATTTTTGCTACTTACATTTGTGGATTAACACTTTTTTGTGTTCTGTTTTAAATTGTTTGCTCAATTTGTATAGGTATATCACATTCTAGTCATGATGCATAAATATTATTGTTTGAGAATAATATTTTGTATAAAGTTAAGAAATTATGTTATTTGATCAAAACAATATATAATACAATATATATAAAAAAAACATTTATTTTTTGGCAAGTGCATGTATATGTATCATGATGTATGTATAATATTATGTATTTTGACGTAAATGACGACATGTTTGGTATCTTAATCAATGTCCATTTATATTTGGCTTCTGTTGTATGATATATCTTTGGTTCAGGTTGTGGAATTTTGCATCTCACAATCAACGTCTGTATCCAATTTTTCGCAGTGCTTTTAGGTCAACATCTCCGTAGTAGTCTTCACTATAAACGTACAATAAATATTGAAATGTTAAATAATCATATTGTTTTGGTTTATTAATTTGTGATCTTTAAATTACATTAAAAACGATAGGTAAATAAATTATTGATGTGTTAATATTTCATACTTATTCTTTCTATGTTAGGTTTGTGTTAACTGCAGCATCGTGCTTGTGTATACTTTTAAGATTTCTTTTTACAGATTATAAATTTGTACTGCGCGACCAAAAAACTAAAGAAGCCGTTCGTAAGTAACACCACATACGTAGTACCACAATTAATTAAATTTATTGTAACATGCTGTGACCTGTGATAGACGACTTTCTTCTCATGCATAGTTTTTTTTTTTTGTAAGTTTATATTATTATAATATTGTTATAAAACCGTCCGAGTAGAGTAAGCTGTGCCTGTACTCTACACTTTAATACTGATTGCAGGTCGTATCTGTGTCTGTTATCGCTTGTGAAATTGTTTTTGGGTGCGCTTTAATCCAATTTTGTAAGGAATCCGCTGTTTCCGATCGGATCTAAATTATTATTATATTCCCGTCGTATAAAATTATTATTTTACTTGTGTCCAATCACCACACATTGTGCCTAAACGATTTCGCCTTTTAAATTTTAGATTTTAAATGAATTTGATTTTAATACCGATTGCAATGATTATTTTTGTACAATAGCTAGGTATATATTATATTTATCTCAAGTGTTTACGCTGAACAGCTCAACTGTTTTGCAATATTCAAAACATTGTTTAAATGCGTTATTTCGAGATCAATTGAATTCGGACAATCGGGTTACAGATATTATTTGTTATGTAGGTGTAGCTGTGTAGGTACGTGTATAGTAAATTTAACTTGTTCAATCGCAAAACTAACAGTACAGATTGCTGTTATTATATTATGCTATACAGGGTGTAACCTTGTATGTAGGTATTCGCATTATAATCGGTCATCAGTAGTGTTTTCGTAAAAAAAACTGTAGTCCATAGGGCTAGCCTCTAGGTATACACTCATGATGGCTCATTGATACATTTAAGCAACGATTTACGATGTAAATATGTAATTATATTATGGTTTTATATAAGCCCAAAACTTATCTGATTCAACCCTTCAAATATATATAATATATATCTCAAATATTAAATATATATAATATATATATATTTATTTTACTATTTTTTGAACTATTTCACAGCTCAGATTTAACAATTAATTTGATAATTCTCTTGGAAAATCTGATTACTCTGTGGTGGCCACTCGAATATTTTATTTAAAAAAACTGCAATAATTCCAGCTACGAACTATGTAATAATAATACCTAATACAAAAACAGATTTCTTAATTTTGAATACTTTTAAGGTGGGTATAGGTACTTGCAACTTTCATTTTTGTAAAATTTTTACAAGATAGATAGCCACTAATTCACCAAAATGTTGGCCAATATTTAACATAAATATGGTACTTCGTACTTATACGTTGTAGTGCCTGTTTGCCCCTCTAAACACCACTGATTAATGATTATAATATAAATATATAATACCTACTATCTGGGATTCCAGGGACAAATAGGTGTGTATGAATATCGAAACGACAAACGTTTATATACAATATAGGACATGGGTGTTAGGTAATATCACAATAATTCACATGTATTGAAGTATTACTATACAGCACATACAATAAAAACCTTTATAACCTTAACAATGCGATAATGGACAGTTTAAAAACTTTTTTGAGAATTGAAAAGCCTTAAGTTTTTAAAAATCATTTTGAAGGACGAAAATTGAAAGCTACAAATGTCCATAGTCGGATACTTGTATAGGTATAGATATGGAAAAAGCGTTCGTGTTAGCAGCATGCAAGATACCTGATACGTGTAACCTTTATAATAGGGTACATTATAATATTTATACTTTGATGTATAATAATCTGTATTTATGTACTGTTAATTGTTATATTATGTACATATTTTGTACTTTTGTAGTTTGTACAGTATGTTTTAGTGTTTCGCTTGCTGTTTATGTCTTATGAATATGATATTGTTCTTTAGCATTCGAAACGGCGTAACATTTTATGGACGTTTGGGAAACTTAAGGACGAGTTTAATTGTATTGCGACGGAATAATTATTATGACGAGGGCAGCGGTGAGTGATGAACAATGTAGAAATGTATGTATTCAAATATATAATATATTAATATATTTAATATAATAACTATGTTTTTAATCTAGGTAATCATAATAAAATGATGAATTATTAATAAACTTACAATAATAAAAACATAATTATTACAAAGACAAGTACCTACACATTGTAAAATTAAAGAGTGTAATTTGTACAAAATATTTTTCATATAGTATATATAATATAAATGGATTTAATTATTTTATACATATTTATATTTAAAAAATGCAATATATCGTGAACGGGACAATGCGGATTCACCTACATAAATTATAAAATGGTCGGGATTTTAATACATGTACGAAGTATAAAATAATAAATGCACATATTGTTATTGATTGTGTTGTGAATAAACTTCGGGTAGTTTGATGACTTTTTTTTTGATTTTTGCGCTTAAATACGAAAATAATTATATCAACAAAAACGTGTGTGTATCAGTGATGGGGGTGCACTAGACACAGCAGTAAATCCAGTAATTTGCGGCTGCAGCTGATGCCGTCGTCGCATTAATGTGCCAGTATTTTATCGTAACTGTTTACAAATTAATTATGGGAACAGGGATAAATTACATGGGGGATCGGGCTGAAAAATCGATCGGAATCGAATAAAAAAAAAAGCGTATAAAAAAAGGAAACAAAATAATAATAGGTATAATAATAATATATATAAAAAAACCGTATTAAATTGTGTGAGCACCTGTATATAAATCCTCTACATACATAAATCGTTTTATATTTATATATGCGTCGGACAGGGGTAGTATTATGTAGAGGGGTTGGGGGAGGGAGAGAAAATTCGGTGCTCACGCAATTCAAAAACCGTAAGTTATACAAAAAAACTTTCAAAAAGTCCGTGTGTTTGCGTGTTGTGTGTGAGTGTGTGTGTGTCCGTCACCGCTGGCGAGTTATACGCCACCGCCGTTGTCTTCTCCTCTAAGCATCTTCGTAGTCTTTTGATGACTGTGAGGAGGCTGGGAGCTGTTGGGGTTGTGGCCTGCTGGACTGCTGCTGTTGGGGTTGCGGCCTGTTGGATTGCTGTTGCTGCCTCTGGGGTTGTGGCTTGGGCGCCGCCTTGGACTCAGCCGATGACGATTGCTGTTTGGATTTGTTGTCCAGCCCGGACAACAGTTCGCTCTTCTTGATCGCCTTCAGGTCCAGGTCGCCGTAGTAATCCTCACTGCGCACACACATAGGTAGGTTGTTTGATTTTTTTTTTACTCCGTTCACGGTCGTCGCCGAGTCGTTATTATATATTTATATTTATATTATGCTAATGTATATTACTAAATGTATAAAGTATCACTACCTCCTATACAAATGTCAACGTGGGTATGTAGGTACTTATAAGTTATATTATATATACTCATAAACATTAACGTGTATAATATTATAGGATATATAATGCATTTCATGTGCGTGTCTTGAGGATAGTCGAAAAAAAAACCAGAAGGATGCGGCGGAGACAAATAATTGCACACGACATTATAAGAAAAACATTAAATCTGTGATACGTATACATCGACTATACAATATACACATAGGTACACGTACGGCGTCATTGAGTGTGCATATATGATTCCAAGGTAGCGGGGCGGTTGTCGGTTGTGAGCGTTGAAAAAATAAATGTCGAAATGTCAATTGCAACAGCAATAATTATTGATTACAGGTTTGTCGTTAAGGACGGCACATAATATGTGACATCGTTCGGAACCTAGGTACTTTATATTATATAATTGCGTGTATATAATATTATGTTAATATACCTACGTTAATGAATTTCATATCAAACAAATATTGCAGCGGGTTAGGTGTTGAACACACGGCTGCAGTTGAACTCGGGCCAAATATGAATCGAATTTCGTGAAAGCATCATGACCACATAAAAAACCTAACCCTGGGCGATAAACCTGCACCGGAAAGATGGCCGAGACGCGCGGCGAGTGCAACATAATACCTATATACTCGTCGTCCGAAGGAATTCGTGCTGCAGGTATTTAAATTAAATTTTTTACCTTAGTGGTAAGCCGGTAGAGGTACACATTAGAGAACAAACATATAGAATAGACGATTACCCCACTCCTCGGTATGTCGTCATTTATTTTCATCGGCAACGTGGTCAATTATCGCATATTATTTTAAATTTGAATATCACGCGGTCATAAAATCTTTAAATTATTGTTATTATAATATTATGTAGGTATACTATGTATATAATAACGAGACCAGAAACTTTTTCCTCGACCGCCGCGGGTTGAAATCGGTAGGTACGTGGGACAACAAATGCAGTTTGTATTCTGTTTGCAGGCCACTGTACCTACACATATACATATACAGTGGTCCGTATAGTATAGGTAATATTATATAGAAGCATATTATCGCTTTCACTTTTTGTGCGGTTCAAACGAGATACACATTTACATTTTTTTACGATTTCGGACGATATAATATAATTGTATTTGTATAGACACGTCTGTGCACCTATGTATATACTATATATATATATAATGTACGTCGTAGGCGCATACCACACAGTTTATACACACGCGCATACCCAAACACACACACACACACACACCCGGTCATTATATAGTTACGTTGTATGTGTTGTGTGCGTGTTTATTATATTATATTATTATATATCATTATCGAAACGACGTAGTTTTACATATAGGTACGTATCTAATATATTATATTGTGGCGCGGAGTTTACGATGGTGATATTTCGTTCTCGCCGGCGCGTCCGGAACGTGGCAATTGGCCCGTGAAACTATCTATGTATAACAATTTGTATATACCGCACTAAAAAGCGTTTTCACACTCGACTATCGCGATATAATGATTATAATATGCCTCTCTCTGCTGCGGTGGTTTATAATTTCGTACCTGCACACGTCTGTACCTGTATATTATAATTACGAATTGTCGTATAATGTTTGTTCTCGTAAATGCGCTTTCGCAAAAGGAAAAACAGAAAGAAACAATATGCATTAAAGTATTAAACGATGGGATAATGTAATATAATAAACACTCGGGTGGCACCTTTGCATAACGTTCCACGTTCCGGTGGTTTTTCCGTACCGACTTAATACGCATAATAATAATAATATAATATAATTTGTGCGTATACGCGGTGTATACGTACATCTGAGCGCGTGCACTTCAGAGACTTAAACGATTTGAAAGAGAAAAACACGGCAGATACAGAAGAAATCGTCCGAGAAGTATATACCCTCGTCCGTCGCGTGGACCATGCACTAACGCGTTTTCGGTTTTCACCACGCTTCACCCCACGATAACGGTTTGAAGACCGCATGCAGCCACATCATGCACGACGAGATGTTAATCGTAGGTATATAATATATTATGTCTATAAGTATTTTTTTCACGTGTACTCACAAACTCTTTCGGGAAAGGGTGTACGATTTATATCGGAGCATCATTACGTCCACGGTTTTTAGCTGATTATAATGATTACGAATCACCATCGCAGAACTAACCGACAAAATATTCATTCATCAGATGATGTACGTGTTTGATATTAATACATCAACGTTTATGTCAGGGAGATTTAAATTGTAACTTAATACACTCCATAAGTAAACCATCTTGTTTTAATCGCAAACGGTTTGTTATGGATACATTTTACTATCTGAGTAGAATATATTATAGTATATGTGTCCTAGATCTCTGCATATTATTATGCCAAACGTTCGTAAAACTACAGATGCAGATTTATAGGTAAAATTTAGAAATATATCGTCGCGTAGGACTGCAATAAATGAAAAGTAAATCAATAAACAAGTAAAATCGTAAAATTATCATCTGCAGTAAACATACAACGGAAATAGGAAGTTTGTGCTCGAATATTAAACACTGGGCCGCTCAGTATACCTACTATGCGATGTATGCGTCATAAGCGTAATTAGTGTTGCATTCGTTCATATAATCATATTACTTCAAGCCTATTACATTGTAGAGAGTGAGTAGTGAGTGCACGCTTCGAAATACTTAATGGATAAAAACAATAATAAATATGTTGTGTTCGCATACCATCCGGGAACGTCCTCGGGGCTCTCGCAGCTTCCACTACCGTCGGAATCGCCGATTTTGAAAACTGTGCCGATCGGGCAACCGTATTCTCTGGGAGTGCCTTCAAGGCAGATGTAGTACTTTCTGCAGTCGTCTGGGTGAGCGTGTCTGCTGAAAGATCCCACTGAAGCCAATAATTCTCCGGCGGCCGGGCAGTTGAAACCGTTTGCTACTTCTACGGTGGACCACGAAAAAATAAAATAAATGCCGTTGTTTAAATCGATATCCGCACTAGACCAAAATACTACATCATATACTGTATACTATATAATATACTAACCTTCGACTTTGCATTCTGGTACTTGGTCAGCCCACATGCATACTCTGGATTCGCGGTCGTAAGCCAAACCCGGAGAACATTGGTATCTGCTAGCTTCGCCTCCCCAACAGTTCCAGAAGGTATCGCACTTGACATCGTCAGGGAAGATTCCGTATAATCTAGGGCAGTGGGGTCCGCCGACGGCAGGTTCTGCATACAGCGGGTAAATTAAATGAGTTATTGTCACGAAACGAAATAATATAATAATAATATATAATAGTTATTATTGATATCATACTTTCAATTGTACGATAGAGTAAAGCATTTGCGACTGGCTTTATTTAAGAAGCAAAGGATATACAATGGTTAGGTCACGTAACGAGGAGAGGTGAGTATATGAAACGGTAAAGCTGTGGCAATATAATAGAAATCAAAAAGAAGAAGACCTCGAGGCAGACCAAGGAAAATATAAATTGATGTAATGGAAGAATACTTAAGAAGTTTTGAAAATAGTGGAGAAGTAGACAAGTAGTTCAAGATATAGAGACAGGTGGAAACGCAGCGTTATCGCTATGAAAACTCTTAGAGAGTAGTACCTATATAGTAAGTTATGCCTTATGCAATTGAAGGAAAGAAGAAAACAAAATTTGTATCAAAAGTTTTACACTTGACGGATCGTCGCAGAAAACTTTGCAGAAGTCAACGCCTTACAATTGTTATAAAATCGTCAACCGATTCTTACCCAATTGTGATCTGGCGCCGCAGTCAACGTTGTGCAAGTAATCACAGTTTTCTTTCAGGTACTTGGGGTCGGTGTCGTCGAACGCCAGACCGTTACCGCAAGTCTTTAGTTCAGCCACATTGTTGTCGCACTTCCAGTACTTGTCGCACGATAAGCTGTGCGGGTAGAACCCGTAGTCGTCGGGGCACTTGAACTCTTCTCTCTGGCCATGAACTGTGCATATAAATACGAAGAGCACATAATTATTTATCTCGTATACATAATATGTTATATTATATAGGCACGACGACGGTGGTCGGTGACTACAACGATGACGACAATTATTATTATGTTAATAAACATACCGCGGCGCTTGTTATAGGTACCTACTATTACTATTACTATTATTATATAGTCGTTTCCTAGGACCTTGGGGCGCGCCTCATTGTGTCCGGTTGTCTTATGCAACGCGTCGCGAAGACGGCGGTAGCGGTGGAGGTATTAAAAACATGGTAGCCGCCGCCGCCGATGACGTTATGTAATTATAATATTGTTGAACTCTCACACACGTGCACGGGCCCCCTCACACGAGTTATTAGAATACGCGTATTGTATTTAATAATAATAATAATAATAATATCACATACGCCGGGGCCGGACCACCAACTATACAGAAAACGCGTACCTATACAAATGTAGTCGCCTCCGGAGCCGTGGGATTCTATCGCTCGATGACCTTTAGCCGGGTACGATCGCGAGTATGATTCTGCAGCTTTTTATTCCATCTCGCTTCTCTTATTCACATTATCTATTTCTCGTCGTTATATTATTTTATTTGAACGCGTCCGTTGGCGTGTGCGTACAATGGTGTACGAAAACAATTGTCGCCTTACCCTACCCGACCCTCCCGCCCACGAGTTTGTATGCGTAACGCGTCCGACGTTCGTATATTATGTTGCGACGGATGTATATACCTACGTAAGTACAATAAATACGTATTTTATAAAGATACTTTTTTTTTATGGTGTCCTCATTGTAGGGGTACCTAGATATTCTGTAACCATCGGCGATTGCGAAACACCGGGAATGGAACTCGCCCCGGGTTTCTGGGTCAAAAATGATGATAATAATTACTATGACACACGTCGTATATAGGTAATAATAATAAATTAATACGTGCTCGCTATATAATAATAATATGTAATATACGTAGTTGTATCCGGTTTTGACTATATAGGTACGACCGGCGGTGTCGGCGATCATTCGCGTGGGTCACGCACGCGATGTCCCGCCGGCGGATCAGATGAAGATCGCAGCCGGTTTTAGCCTTATAGGCGGCGAATTTGTTTTTATTTCCACACTCCAGCTCGTTATTTTAGTATATACTATGTTATTATATAGTATCTGCAGTATAGGTCACCCGCGTTACGCACGAAACCGAAGAAGGACAATTTATTAATAATAAAAACGACGGATAGACGACGACTATAATGTGCGTATTACTGATTTCACTCTCTCCCTCACCCTCTCTCTCACCCACTCTCTCACTCCCTCTGTATATTATATTATAATTAATAATATATACAATATATTATTGTGATGTGTCTCGCGTGCTGATGTTGCAACTTGCAACCACTGTGTTGCACGCGCGTTTATGGATCTCCGACTGTATCGATCTCCATCGTCGTGCATTGCGTAAACGTAAAACATACGTAAGCACAAGACCCTTGCCCCGCATGTATAAAAGTCACTGCTCGGTAGTTTATTAGTCAATGAATGCGTCGAGAGTGCGAATGTATTACCAATTTGTGACCGCCGGACAATATTATAATAATAATATAATATTTTATAAAATTATAAATTGTTATATCATAATATGATACGACCGCGGACGGACGGTATTACAGGAAGACGAAAACCGGACTGTGGCCGGACCAAGCCCAAGCAAATACGGCGGCATCGCCGACGTCAGTTATAGAAAGCGAACTTGTTTTTATGGTCCTAGGCAATGGGTGCGAATATATAATAATAATAATAATAAATAATAATATCAAACGCACGCGCGGTTGCTGCATAATCTCGTTACATACGACATTCTTCGGCAGAGAAAACGGAATTATATTATTATTATTATTATGTCACACGGCCACCGTGTTATGTCGTATAATATATATTTATTTGTCTGCATAACACAATACACACAAAACACATATTATAAAATATATGGGTTATCGCCGTCCTTGGGCGTGCCTAAAAGTTGACAAAACTCTTTATCGGTACGCGTTATATATACTTATTAGTTAGGTATTAGTATTATTTCTATATAGGTATATCAATGTACCATAATATTTATAAGGCGTGCGAGCGGTATGATGTTGCGTAATATTGATAATATATGCGCGTTTTCCGTGAGCTCACCGATCGTGTCTCGACTCGTTTTAATATTATTATTATCGACAATCCATTATTCATTAAACGCCGTCACATTTCGGAGTGGCCGTCGTCGTTAGAGGTGAGTGGCCGCGCCGTTGCAGCCAGAGGAAGCAGATAGAAATGAAGAGAGAGAGAGAGAGAGAAATAGAGATAGAGTGTGAGAGAGCGTGAGAGGGAAAAAAAGGGTTAGGCAGCGGCGTTACGTCTCCTCCGTTTTGGGTTCGAAAACGTCTCGGCGATTATGTAACACACACACACACACACACACACACATTAAGTCTTCCGGTTCATGAAAATCTAGTAGGAACGCGCGTTTATAAGTCTTAAATCTCTTCCTCTCACTGCCACCCCTCGTCCTCATCACGCTTGGAGGTTACCTAACAATCATTGCACACAAGTCACTGAACGTCTACGCACTGGCACGCGTTTTATGTGAGCACTTTTAATTAACGTACCTTCCGTCGTCATTTTTCCACCTGTCACACGTGCATTCTAGAAGGTACGTGCTCATTCTCGTCCGACCGCACCCCGAGAGCTATTTATTTGCTTATTATTTTTGGTTTTAATGGCTCGTCCGTTTGTAATTACAATATCACATTATATTTTACGCGCATAGGAAGCGAACAGCTTTTGACGACCTGTTCGTGAGATTCATCCGTACAGAATACAGATGGATGTAAGACCGTAAGTGCGCAGTCGTCGTATAACAATACCCAGTGACACATAATTTCTAACGATCCCGGGTTGAAAAAAGTATGTACCATCGGTATTCGAAGATAAGTTCTTAAGGTTCTCGGTGAGTGCGGTCTGAGGTGGAGCGTTTGCCCAGCACTTACATTTTTTACATATGGGCAACTTGCGTTTATAATTTATTTTTCTTTGTTGAATGTAATTGTCGTATCAAGTTATATAACATGTATGAAATTAACTTCTACTGTCAACAATTTTTAGTCATAAGAAAAGGTGTGACTGTGTGAGAAAAAATGCCATTGGATTGAGAAAATTATGAACACTAGGAGTAAGTATTTATATAGTTGAGCATTAGAAAAATACTTCCGATATTTCTATTGTGAAAAATATGAAAATCTACATACCGCACGTACTTATCTTTTTAATCTCTGCATACATTTAATTAATCAATTCGTAATTTTTAGTACACTACATACGGGTGGTTCGCGTTGCGCGTTACGCGTGTGTGGAAATACGTTTCTCGTGGGTAACGGAATTTTCTATAATATGTATAATAAATACGACGATGCATAGGAGGAAGAAACTTGTCAAAATTTCACTTTTCCCACACCACTAGCAGACCACAAACATAATATTATCTAGGTATATAGTCGTCAGTAGGACTGAAAATTTTTTCTTTTTCTTTCTCTCTTCGCCGTTCTTATATACGCGCGATACACACATTAATGATACTGTATAGGCAGGTCCTATACGTATATATTATATTATTAATATGTCGGGCGCACTACAATGTTACCTATGTATAATGTTATTATAATGCGCCATAATTTGCGGTATGCGCGACGTATATAAGTCACACCATTAGCCGCCGCGACGTATAATTTAATATACGAACGCATTATATTATATTGTATTATATACCCATATACTCGTATATTATATTGCTTCACCGATCTCTGTGTGTCCGGGTTTCGTGATGTAACACATCGTATGTGTCGCGTTGAATATACCGATGGATTTTTGGGAACGTGTTACATAAAAAGACGAAAATTATTTGTCGAAAAACACAAACCAACCGTATTCTTCGTATTTCTTCTACAATATTATTATGATACGCATAATAATAAAGAGCGGATTATATAGGATGCGTTGAAAGGGGGTTTTTTTTTTAGACTGTTACGGTTTGAAGGAAATAGTCTGCTGTATAAAACGATTAATGCGGTAAATGTATATCCGAACTCAAAGTGTTTTTGTTAAAATTCGCGTCGATTGTGTTGCCAATTTTAGAGACGGAAACGCTGAACAGTAGATTATTTTTTGGTGGATATTATTTTGCATAGAATATGTTGCAGCATATTAAGATTATTCGCTGCATAAATTGTTATATTTGTCTAAATTATTTATGTTATTTGTACCGGCGCGCAGTTGTTACCTTGATATGCGGCGATGAGCAAGACGGAAGCGAGTAGATAGATCTTCATCTTGACGAGGACCACGTCTAATAAAATTTAACAGTGATAATGATGTGTTTTATTAGAATACGACGACGTATAAATCACTCGAGAAAAATACAATAATAATAGTATTATGAAATGATAAAATCGAGTTCACTTTCGCGGGCGGTAACGCGATGATCGGCACTGGTGAGCGGCCGGTGCTCGCCTCTTGTTTTATATGCACGTCCTACCCGGCGCGACCTCAGCCCCACTTGAGTATTCCAGTCGTGTGAGATTTGAAATCCAAAATGAAAAAAAAAATAATAATAATAAGAAACAACGCGCTCGCTCACACGCGCAAGTGCACGTACACACTCGCTCGTATATATGCATTCACACACACACAAACTCACGTATTGTTATACGTGATTTTTTTTAAATCTGGACTACGCCCAGCGGGACTGCCTCCGCCACCGCCGCAGAGCTTTGCCCGTACACCGCCTATACACGTTTTTTACTGATTGTTATGGCGAGAGAAAAAAAGAAAAGAAACAATAACAAATATAGTAAAGCGCACACGATACGATTTAATACATTATATTATTATTATTATGTGTATATAATAATATGTGTAATGTCGTCGCTGCTGTTATAGTCGCGTTTAGTCGTATATGGGGTGTCGAGCAGGGCGTTTACGCCGTTTGCCCTATACATACACTTGTTGTATAGTCATCGAAGTCTCGTCCTTGACGGTCGATTGTATACGACTTACTTTTTTTCCTTTATACGTTACAAATTGTTCGTCGCCCGAGACTAGGATCCATCGTTGTCGACTTGTCGTCGTCGTAGTCGTCCTCGGGCATCGCGCTCGCCGGAGCTCGTCCAAGAATTTATATTTTATAAGTGCATACACCGCGCGTGGTTGACCTGGAAACGGTCTTCTCTATACGTATAATAATAATATTATAATATATTTCATTGATAAAATAATATAATATTCTCTTTTCATTATAAAATCGTATAAATTGTACAAATAATTTGTCGTCATCGTCCGAAAGTGTATACCTCCGTCGAATATATTACTATAGATAGTAGGTATTATACATTCGTATTATACACAAGGCTGAACGGCGGATATCATGTACATATTATTATATGGTATACATCCCATCTCGGAGCGGCCACGGGTCCTTGGTTTTCCCACGCGAAGACGTATACATAGTATTTACTACCTATTTAATTTAATATTGTATCGTATTCTGTGTCCGAAAAATAACACAACAAGTTTCTACATAATATTATATGTATATTATACGCGACGTCCTCCGGAGGATTCCTACGTTTTGCAAAGCTCCTCTCTTTTCTCCCGTTGTTGTTTCGCGCTCTCAAACAACAATATAATAATAATATATATAATATTATTCAGTTCCCTCGGCTTTTACCATCCTTTCGACCGACGTCGAGTTTTCGTCACGTCCTCGTACCGTGTACACCGCAACGTATTAATCGTATTATTGCGTCGAATAAGTATATACTATATAGGTAAGCACAGTTCATCCATTATAATATACTATGTGCTGGATTATGAAAATGTACATATATGTTATACCATATGTAATATATATATATATATATATTCGTTTATAACAATAAATCAGTCAAGAGTTGAGTATAACATTGGTTAACAAATTCTAAGATTGAAGGCGCGATAAAGCCGAATAAAATGGGTAGGTAGAATAAAAGACATTTTTCATTCGGTACAATTTCAAAATTCAAATTAAACATAATTTAATATAAAAACCGAGAATTTCTTCTTATTAAATAATAGATAAATGTTCTTCTATTATAATTGTACACAAGAAAAATTATAATAATGGTTTGAAGAAAATGTTTTCTGAGAGTGTCTGATCCAACCCGTTTTTAGTACAACTATCATAGTCCGATTCCGATAATTATTGTTTTATTTGAAAGATGAAGACTTTATACAAGTCACGCTTTGGACTCCGATATGATAAAAACAGAATTTTTGCTTTTTTAACTATATTTTTAGAAGTTGTAATAAAATATATTTCTGGCGTTATTTATAGTTAAAGATCGGGGTCCGATGGGGCCTGAATAAGATTCCATAAAATAAAACAGCGCAGTGTAACTCAAAATTACCCGAATTTTCACTCCTTAATAACACTTTTAATTTTGAATATTTTGAAAATTGCAACTGTAAGGGCCAGAGGGTGCTTCCACGAAGGTCCTATAATGGTCAATATGTAAATATAATAATGGAATTGTGGAAAATGAGTACAATAAAAAAAAAAAACGGTAAACAAACGCTAATACAATTATTATATTTATGAATATTATTATGAAAATTCATAATTAATGACACATTTTTGTAATAGGTACGTTTTTAAATTTGCGGATGGTGGTAATGCCGCAGTTAGTTATCCGGAGAACTTAAAAAAAAAAAATGAAAACAAGGGTCTGGTTCCACCAATTAACTTATCGACTTTTCATTTTTAAGTACTTGATATTCTTTATTAAAGACTAAGTGCTCCGCTAATTTTACTATTTTACTCATGTATCTATAATCATCTATCAATTAAATAATATTGGGTGTCGCGCGGGACCACTCGTCTGGCCGAATAATTCTTCGCGTGCCGCCGAGTCAACTTCGCAGACTTATCGGCTTTTACTGATATATGTACTTATATCACAATGGCTGACATGTAATTGGTAAAATGTACACAAATCAAACGTAATTGTTCCGATTTTAAAAATATTATTTGTTTAAAGGTTTTATATTGCTCCTTTGTTCGGTCGATCTTAGAGTTGTCATGGGTTGTCTGAATCTTAAGCAAAATAATTTAGTTGATAAACTCGATAAAATACAGCGGCGTTATTTGAGAATAATTGATTTTAAGCTAGGAAAGACTGATGTGGGTTTAGACGTTATTGCCAAAGAACTTGGTATATAGAACCGTGAACTTCTAGATGTTTATATAATAATATTTTATTTACAAGTTAATTTCTTTGCTATTAATATAATATGCCCCGAGTTCTTATAAAAAATTAATTTTAGAGTACCAGCTTTTAATTGTAGAAACAATCTCCACTTTCTGGTTCTTTGGTACTTTAGAAATTTAATTGCAAATAGTCCGGAGTAACAACTTTTGAAACATTGTAATGATATACCTAATTTTAATTTTGACTCCCTAGCTAAATTAAAAAATATTGTTATGAATATTTTTCTTCTATACCTTTATTGCATTTCTTACTATGAATTATTTTTTTAGTTTTTTGTATATTACTAGAGTTCGTTTGACATTTACTGGATTCATCACCCGTTTGGGGCGTTAAATTTAAATTTAAAAAAAAAATTTTCATCCTTCCCACCACCACAAATATGACGGAATTATGCCACTGCAGCGTTATGATTGTTATGTTGCGTTACGCGTGTAACAACAATATTATTATTATTGTCGTATGTATTTTCGTCGCCCGCAGAGGTGTTGTGTGCGGCACACGGCTAATAATGCGTACGCGTGTGTGTTTGCGTTTAACCGCGCGGGTGAAAGCAGGACCAGTGAAAGTGATCAATATATATCGAGAGCGCGCATTCGCCAGTAATTTTTGCTCGCATTTGAATAATTTTTCTGATCGCGATATCGTGTCCAAGTTGGCTTACAGGACGTGTATATATGTAACGCGGACACGCGCCGGCTCCTGTGTACATATTATATATATATTATATATTATGTAGGTATCTGCCTAAAATATAATTCAGGTATATATATATACAGGAAGGTATATCATTATAATGTTTGTTATTATTATTTTATATAGCGTGTTGTCGTTGGTATTGTAAAGTAATACGATTTTCGTGTGCACTCGCGTGCAAAATGCATCCGATTACTATTCTGCTGCCCAACGACCGCAGTGCAGCGGTGCAGTGGACCGACTCTACGTGTGTGTGCGAGCGCGCCGTGGAAGGTCATTAACTATATAGGTATATACGGTATATACCTGAACACACAAATACGCCACACTGCACACGTGTGTGCTGAGCACTTTAACGTTATGGTTTCTTCTCACTGCATAATAGATGGTGTACTATGTTTGAAAATAATAATAATAATATAATACGGGCTGTATATAAAAGTACGAGTACGAGTATTTATAATATAACAACGCACAAAGATGGTTCGGAAAATCATTTTTTTTCTTCTAACGCGTAGAACTTTCTACGATCTGCACCCGACGTCAATCAATCAATATCCGAACGGTGTACAATACCCATGCGTATACCGCCAAATATATCGCCACATGTTTTGTGGCCACGTGAGTTATAATTTGGCTGAAATAAACTACCTACCTAAAAAGTAATATAGACGTAAAGTTGTATCGATCGATCGATCATTTTCGTTCAACGCTAGGTACGCATATAGGTACTCTATTGGTTTTACTTATACAATTGTTGCGTAACGTCGTACCATGCGTGAATCATAACTAGGTATGATAATATTTATAAGTACCTATATATACCGCAAGGACAATCCAAATCGTTACCTATGATTATCATTATATATGTATTTACATGTACGTTATAATATGGCCGTTTAAGTCGTCTATTAATTACGTCCGCGTGTTATATATATTTTCGCGCTTCCGCCTAAAAGTTTATAACATATATAGATATATAGCTGGGAGACGCGGAATAACAACACGAGATAATGTTGCACTGTTTTCGTATATTATATATACAGGACTTGACGGAGACGTCCTTGACGGACGGCTGCAGGTGCAGTGTCTTATTAGTATATTATATATGTAGGTTTATACGATAAACGATGTATGCGGATTTGTTCCAGTCGATACATAACGAGTTGTCGATCGCACCATAGGAAATGTCAAAAAACACGTATTCAGCGTATACCGGGTAAACAAATAATGACGAGCCCTCCGGCAAATGGAGTAACACTCGATAATATTATAATACACTTTAAGAGCGTTTCCAGTGTGTTTCTAAGCGGTGCCTGCACATAATCGAT